GGAGGTGCCCAGGCAAGGCCAACCTGTGAACCAAGGCCTGCTGCTCCTAGTGATGGTACTAGGGCCACTTAGTGAGAGTTACAGGGCTTGCTGAGGACAGATGCTGCTTGTATGAGAGAGCCCTTCTACCAATGTCGATGTAGCTTCTTCTTTAATTTTGTAGTTGTAGGACTTACATTCAGCTCAATTTCAGGAAGTTCTGCACAGTGGTTATTCTGTAGTTTAGTTTTAATTTGGATGTGGTTGTGGGAGGAAGCATGTACCACGTTTACCTATGCTGCCATCCTGACTGGAAGTCAAAACTAGCATTCATACAATAGTATATTCTGCTGCATTTTAATGTCATTTTTAATGGGATCTGGGTTAACTTGAATACACTTCTCAAACTCACACACAAATTCTCAAAACAGAGATAAGTACCTTGCCAACCATTGTTTTGTCCATTCCCTTCTCTTAGTGTATAATTAAACATTGAGCATAGCAAAGAAAATATGGGAATAATTTCTATCAACATCAGCCCCCCACCTGATTGCTCATATTTCTTTCTTTTCCAAATTCCACGTACATGAGCCCAATTACCCCAAACTTGCAGGTTCACACCTCTCTGAAGTTCAAGTCAAGAACAGTTTGACTCAGGAAATACTTGAGTAGCCCGAGTGGCCAGGGACTGACATTTGTGCTTCCATTGTGAAGGCACTCTGGCTGCTTTGTTGGTCACCATATTAATCTCCAGAGCTGTTTCAGCCCATTAGGCTGAGGCAGTTCATTTCTACTCCCCCCTACTGGAGTTCTGTGTTATCACAAATTTTCAGCTTTCCAGCTTCTATTTAGAAACCAGATTATTGAGCTAATACTTAGTTTTCCCAGTGCAGAATATATTTTTCTATTTCTATAACTGGGTTTCTACCTTTGAGCTATTTCCGAGTATCTGTGGTAGTGGTCTGCTCAAATCTCTTTCTAGAGCAGAAACTTTATCTTTATCTTGAAGGACTTTGGACAAGTGGCATATGGCTCTTGCCAGGACTCTTCTCCAGGCACACACACCAAAACAACCTGTCTTTAACCCTAAGGATAATGGATGTGACCTAGTTATCCATGAGCAGATATCAAAATGGGCCCACTTGCCTCTGCTGGAATATCCCATGACTATGCTTTACATTCAACAGGACATCAAGATCTTATTGATATTGAATCCTTATTTGTTTTTAAGAAGCAAATTCAAGTCAATCCAAATCATATTGATGTAAATGGTACTTGAACAATGTTTAGAAATAGTAGTCATTTTCTTGGATATTCTGCCTTGCTGGCCTGATTAAACTTTGGCTATTGGCAAAGGCCTGCCCACCAACCCCCACTCTCCTCTATAGGTGGGTGTAGAAACAGGTTCTTTCTCTCCTTTAATAATCATGTCTTACAGGAAATGAATCACCACTCTTTACTGACAAATACCAAAACATAACAATTAATAGTAGATACGGTATTTTATTCAACTTCAGCATCAAAGTGGTGAAGGTACTATGGCTTAGTCGTTAAGTCTGAAGTCATTGGAGGTCAAATCCTACTTTATCCACTTTTTGGCCGAATTACCTCTAGAATTCTGTCTCAATATTTTCACTTGTAAACTTGAAATATTAATAGTACTCATCTTGTAGGGTACTGTGAGGATTGAATAAAATAGTAAAGTAGACTACTTAGAGTAATGCCTGACATGTAGTGATTGCTCCATAAATAGTTAGTTATTACTATTATTGACGAGAGATAGGAGAAGGGAGCAAGGGGAGAGGTTTGAAACAAGAAAGCTGTAGAGAAAAGGAAGAATTAAAATTACGTGAGAAAAAGAAAAAAAACCCAACCCACAAACATGTAGAAAGAAATGGACCTAGAGCAAAAGTGGTGGACTCTCTTGTCTTCTACCCCAGAGGTGGGTGGCTAGTAGGATACTTCCAGGGATAGCCAGAGTCACAGGGCTCACAAGACATCATTACAAAGTTGAGATCAGAACATAAGGCTATGAATCTTGGCTCTTACAAAAAAATTTTCCACATGATAGAGTCATGAGTTCACACACTCAGACTTATCTTATTTCAGTGATTTTAAGATAAAATGGGGATTTCTAACTTCCTTTTTTTTACTGCTTCCCAGCTTCTTCAACTTCTCGAAATTGCAGGGAAGTACATAAAATCAGTTGATTCATAGTGAAATATAAGGATCTGCCTTTGCCAGGAACAGCAGTAGGAGAAATTTAGGATATATTTTTGCACTCAGAAAATGTTTGTGGAATAACTTTTTTTTAATGTATTTTTATTTATTTCATTTTTTAATTAAAATTTTTAAGAAAATCATTTTGTGGACCCTGAGTTCTAACTATTTGCCAAATCAAGTCAGCCAATATTTCCATAGCATTAACTTAATAACAGTCCCTGGACATAGTCAGATATTACTCCTTTTATAAATTAACAAAAGTACTTTTATTGATGTGTCTTTATTTTTAATATATTTTTATTTATTTATTTTTTAGAGAGAGAGGAAGGAAGAGAGAGATAGAAACATCAATGTCAGCTGAAACATTGACTGGCTGCCTTCTTCACACCCCTTACTGGGGATTGAACCTGCCACCCTGGGCATGTGCCCTGACCTGGAATTGAACAGAGGCCTCTCAGTCCATGGGACAACACTCAATCCACTGAGCTATATCAGCCAGGCTGTTCTTCTTAACTAACTAACTAACTAACTAACTAACTAACTAACTAACTAACTAACTAAAATCACTTTGTGAAATAACTTTTAAGCAGCCAACAGATCTATTCAGCAAAGGCAAGTGGTATGTGAAAACACTTCTGGTTCTACTTCTATAAAAGCAAGCCTCTACCCTTGATGTTATGGGTCCCTGAGAAAATAAATATCTTAGCCTTGGTTTCTCCAGAGCCCCAACAGCCCACACCTTAGCTCACATTCCCCCACCTTTCCCCATGTTTACATTGCTTGAATCATCCCAAACATAGAAGACTTGCCCAGAATCTCTGTGCGGGAAAGCCCCGGCCCTTCCTAATACCATGTAATAACAACAGCATTAGCTGTATCTGTTAAGCACTTACTTATGCAGGTCCTATGGCAAATGTTATACATGAATTATTGTTTTGATTCTCAAAATAACCCTGTGCTAAATATCAACTGCTGGAATAAAAATGTTTCTCCATTTTGAAGTCAAAACAACAGGTTGAGTTTATATAACTTTACCAAAATCACAAAACTAATGGATGAATGATTCATTACTAGCTGATTTGACAACTTGATTTCAGGTTCAGTAGATGAGGCAAGTGTATCATACAGCTACCTTTTATCTTACAATGTGTTAGCCCTTTGAAGAGCATCAAGGATTTAAAAACTTAATGAGTGAGGAGGTCAGAAAGAGTGTGGAGCAGACAGAGCTATGGCCTTGGGATTAGAAGAACCAATGTCCATTTTCAGCTTTACCAGTTTTAGGTTGTGAAACTTTAGGTGACTTGTTTAACCTGAATCTTAGTTTATACTTTTTTTTGCATAATGATATCTACCTTTCTTATTTCAATGCTTTTAGTTTGGATTACACTACTAAACAGCCCAAGTGTCCATCAATAGATGAGTGGATAAAAAAGCTGTGGTACATTTACACAATGGAACACTATGCAGCTGTGAGAAAGATCTCCTATCCTTTGTGATGACATGGAGGGACCTAGAGAATATTATGCTAGGAGAAATAAGCCAATCAGGGAAAGACAAATACCACATGATCTCACTTATTTGTGGAATATAATGAACAAAAAAAACCTGATGAACAGATAGACCCAGAGACATAGAAAGGAGTATGGTTCAGACTGATAGACTTCAGAGGAGGGGGGCGAGGGGGATGAATGAGATAAACCACAGCACTTACATGCATGTATGTGTAACCAATGGACATAGACAACAATGCTGGGGCAGGGGGCGGGATGGGGAGGAGGGTGTCTACAGGGGAAAAAGGATAAACATTTGTGACAAAAATTAATTAATTAATAAAAAAAGTTAAAAAAAACAAAAAACAAACTTGGCCTGCCTAGTGGTTGCAATCTCTGTAAAACTCAAATGGAAGGAGCCACAATTTTACATAGAACCAGAGAGACCACGGTGCATTTATTCTACCTTTTCAGGAAATTCCAACCCACTAGATTTTGTGTAGTCTAACTCATGTCACAAATTTTATAGTGCATTTTTAGAGCTGGCAAGAGATAATAAAAGTAGATTTAAAATGCCACACAAAGTCAATTTTTATATAAACAAGGCAATTGTTTGGATTTAATTAAATAATATATGCAAGATAAAACACATTCAGAGCTATGTTAATGTTACATAGTTTTCTTCATACCAACAACAAAAAATACTCATCTGTCTTTTATAATTTACTGTTAAGCATAAGTAAGAAAAACAGTTTTTAGTTCAAGTTCTTCATTTTTTAAAGTGACGTATTTGTAAAATAGTAATAACCTCTTCCCATTTATTTCAGAGAGTTTTTGGAAGATAGGAGCAGAATAATAGTTCTGCTTTGAAAATAAAGGGGCATCTAGAGAGAAAGTTTGTATAATGATAATTATGGTCATGCACCATTTCAACCTGACAGAGCAATGAAATAAAATTGAGAAAGGCATATCTCTGTCAAAAACTACATAACACATTATAATACCAAAAAGAAATAGCTTTTGAGTTATTCAAGATTTTGGACTTTTTATTCCTTTTTCTGGACTTTTGGCTAATCTACCAAGTGCTGACTCTCCTGAGCTGTTTGGAGACTAAACACAGACAAAAGTTAGGAATTCAAACTTCAAAGCTGAAAAACAAGTTTGAAACTAAGTTTCTCTTGAACAAGTTGGTTTCCTTTGATACCCAGGTGTTTGTGTTAAAAACTAAAAGGTCATTCAATGTCTTCCTTTGGGCACTCTCTAAAACTTAATAGAAAACTAGTAGATCAGCCAAGGGTCAGAACTCACAGGTTTGCAGGCAAAGGAGCAAGATCCATAAATAGCGCTGAGCCATCATCCTCCAGAGTATTATCGACTGTTCTAAGAACAACACTCTTCTAGTAGTTCCACTTTAACACAGCTTTTTATAGCCGCTTTTGGAACGGAAGTATGAGATAGCTGATTATGGAAACATTGGTCTACGTATTTTGACGCTATCTTTTTTCCTTTTATATAACATAAAGTGTGTTATACTTATTTATTTAACACATTTTTTTTGTTAAATAAGTAATTTATTTAACAAATTTTTATTGAATGCCTATGATGTGTCAGGCTCTATTCTGGGCACTGGCGATATAATGAACAACAAAGCAATTGATCTCTTCACTTATTGCAGAAATAAACAATGACACAGGCAATTTCAATATAGTGTGATAAATGTTTTAACAGAGAAAATATGGGAAACAGAGAGGGCATCTAACCCAGACTAAGACAATGTGGAGAAGGCTTTCTGAAGGAACTGACAACCAAGCTGAGACAGATGTGAAGGATAAGTTAGCATTATCAAGCAAAAGGTGGTGGGGGATAAAGAACAGGAAGAATATATTGACATGATAGGAGCTTAATAAAGGATAACAACTAATATTATATAATTACAGTAACATTTTATATATAATAAAAATATATGCAATTAATAAAACATAAATTTATATTTTATATATAATTATTTCATATATAATTTATAAAATTATATATAATCTTTTATATATTTTATACATATATTTTATAAAACATATATTTATATTTTATATACATTTATAAAATTATATATAATTATTTTAAACAAAAATTATAGTTATAATAAACATAATTACAGTCACATATTAATATAATAGAATATGTAATTATATATAATTATATTTATCATTTATACAATTATATTTAATTATTTTATATAAATTTAATAATTTCCCAAATTATTTTGTATAATAATGATATTCTATGTTATTATATATATTTTTTCTTTATTGATTTTTTAGAGAGAGAGGAAGTGAGCAGAAGAGAGAGAGAGAAACATCAATAAGAGAGAACGTCAATTGGCTGCCTCCTGCATGCTCCCCACTGGGGATTTGACCCACAACCTGGGCATGTGTTCTGACCAGGAATCGAACTGGAGACCCCTTGGTGCATGGGCTGATGCTCAACCACTGAGTCGCACCAGCTGGACTTATTATATATTTTTATATTATATATTATACAAATTATGTATATACTACATATACTATAATTATTATAATTCTATTATGAATGGGATAAATGAAACACAGGACTATTCTTTAGTAGAGGCATACCATTCCCTGTTAGAAGATATCAGGGGCCTTGTATATGTGTAGGGTGTCAGGGTGGTAAGAGATATAAAAATTTGGGTCCCCAAACCAAGCAATTTTAACTGGAACCCATCTGTTTCAGGGGAATGCTGAGGAAACTGAGGACCTAGCCCCTGAGACCTGGGGGAAGAAGATTTTGTAAGCCTTTAGCACTGAGAAGAGTCCTCATCCAGAGAGCCCATTTCTAGGCAACCCGAGCCTCTGGGGTCACTATACAATCCTGCTCATCATTCTCCAAATATATAATTGTTTAGTATAGCATAGTTGAGTGCCTTTATGTAGGTATAGGCAGCTGTTTGGGACCAAAGAAGAATTGAAAATAAAAATGGAATTTTCCGAATTAGTTATTTCATTTCAAAAGATTAAACCATATTACTTTCACATTTTTAGCAAGCATGTCTTCCTAAAATGAGTAATTACTACATGTGAAAAAAACAAGCATATTTCATGTTTTAGTTTCACAGAGAAGGGAAAAAGAAGAAAGAATATAAAGTTGCGAGGAGCTGCTAAAAACCTGACTTTGTATTCTCTTTCTTCCTTCTTCTTTCTTTGTAGGAATGTTCCTTCTTCCCTTGCTATTTGAATCTCTTGCTTGGTCTGTGCCTTTAGAAATCTGAAATTAATATCCTACTCAAGAATTTATTTCCTGTTGAGCCTAGACCCGTGTCCTATGTCTGTCGTTTAGCCTTATACTGCTTATGAAGAAGATACTAGGTTTTGATACTTCTTTGATATGATGTAGAAGAATATGAAAGTCCTTCTGTTCTGTGGTAATAATAAGAAAACTAAAATAAAAACTATACTTTTCCATGGAATACGAAATGAATAGTGTATGTAAGAAACCCTTGATGAACTGAATTGCAGGGAGAAATGCGTCCTTTGTAGATAAGCAGAGAGCTAAATAACTCAAAACCTGGGGCAGGAGACCGGAATTGTTTTCCTAGTTTCTCTTTCTGTGAGTTCATCATTGGTGTATAAGAATGCCATTGATTTCTTGATGTTAATTTTGTATCCTGCTACTTTGCCAAAGTCATTTATTAAGTCTAGAAAATTTTCGATGGAGTCTTTGGGATTGTCTACGTATAGTATCATGTCATCTGCAAATAATGAGAGTTTCGCTTCCTTTCCAATTTGGATCCCTTTTATTTTTTCTTCCTGTCTGGTTGCTGTGGCTAAGAGTTCCAGTACTATGTTAAATAAGAGTGGTTAAAGTGGGCATCCTTGTGTTGTTCCTGTTCTTAAGGGAAATGCTTTTAGTTTTTGCCCATTGAGTATCATGCTGGCTGTAGGTCTTTCATATTTGGCCTTTATTATGTCAAGATATGATCCCTCTATTCCCACATTGTTGAGAGTTTTTATCAGAAATGGATGCTGGATTTTGTCGAAGGCTTTTTCGGCATCTATTGATATGATCGTGTGGTTTTTATTCTTTATTTTATTTATGTGGTGTATCATGTTTATTGATATGCGAATATTGTACCAGCCTTGCATCCCTGGGTTGAATCCCACTTGGTCATGGTGAATAATTTTTTTGATGTATTGCTGGATCCGATTTGCTAGTATTTTGTTCAGGATTTTGGCGTCTATGTTATCAGGGATATTGGCCTGTAGTTTTCTTTCTTTGTAATGTCTTTCTCTGGTTTTGGAGTTAGAATTATGCTAGCTTCATAAAATGAGTTTGGAAGTCTTCCTTCTTGAATTTTTTGAAATAGTTTGAAGAGAATGGGTGTTAGTTCTCCTTTGAATGTTCAGTAAAAGTCCCTCGTGAAGCCATCTGGCCCTGGGCTTTTGTTTGCTGGGAGATAATTTTCTCTTTGTCTTTAAGTTTTGGAATTTTGATTACTATGTGTCTTGGTGTGCGCTGCTCACAGCTAAGGCTGCTACTGACAGCTAAGGCCACTGCCGACTGACCCTGGGCTCCCAGCCCCGCTCTGGCATCTCCACAAGCCTACCAGGATTGAGTCAGTACCCCTGGTTGTGTGGTCCTCCAAGCTGCTTTTCTGTTGCTTTTTCCTGATGATTTGTCTTTATTTTCATTGTAATTCCAGTTTGGTCCTGGGAGATGGTCTGTGTAGCTTCCAATCACTCTGCCACCATTTTGGAATCCACAAAAGTTTTATTTTTAAAGGCATCAAAGAGCTGTGGAAATGTTTGGACTGACATCTTCTAAACGCAAAGTAAAATCTTTCCCAGTCCTGCAGTGCTGTCTTTCAGATCTGAGGATATGGATGCTTGACAGTTCCTTAATCAAAGGTCCATAAGGGAGACACTCAAGTAACAAAGTGAAGTGGAGGTGAATGAAATCTTGTTTAAATTGAAGCCCAGCCTAAACAAGCTAACTCCCCCAATACATTGAGATGATCATCCCTATCTTCCTATTAGAAAAATGGAGGGGGGGGGGGCCTCTCTGTTAGAAGATAACATAATTTGATGTCATTCTGGCTCTTTCATATACAATGTACAGTTTTAAATTAAAAAAATTCCAGACAGACAAAAATATGATTGATAATCAAGAAAAAATAAACATTAGAAACAGACCTGCAGATATAGATTAAGATATAAAGATTTAAAATGAACTATGATTAATATTTTGAATAAAATAGAGGTACGAATATATACAATAAATGAAAAGATAGAAAATTTCAACAGATAATTTGAATATATTAAAAATTAAATGGTGCCCTGGCTGGTGTGGCTCAGTTGGTTGGATGTTGTTCCATGCACTGAAGGGTTGCTGGCTTGATTCCCTGTCAGGAACATGCCTGGGTTGCAGGCTTGATCCCCAGTAAGGGGTATATGAGAGGCAGCCAGTCGATATTTCTCTTTCACATGGATGTTTTTCTCTCTCTCTTCCTCTCCTTTCCTCTCTCTATCTAGAAATAAATATATATATAAATATTAAAAATAAATAACAAATTGGAGGGATTTCTGGTTAAGGTGGTGGTATAGGTAAATGTGGTACTAGAATCCACTCACAACCACATCAAAATTACAACTCAGCTACAGAGCAACCATCATTCAGAACTGCCTGAAGTCTAGCCAAATAGAAGTCCTACAACTATGGATTTAAAGAAGAAATCACATCAAGAAGACAGGAAGGGATAGAGATGTAGAATGAGCTGGTCCCACACCCATGTGTACTGAATAAAAATCAGGAGGGATATCTTGGCTGTGGAGGTGTCCCCTGAGGAGCAAAGGGTCCCAGTCCCACAACAGGCCCCCCAGCCCAGGGTTTCAGTGCCGGGAAGAGAAGCCCTCGTAATTTCTGACTATAAAAACCAGCAGGGAGTATGGCTGAGTGAGATGGAGGCTTCTAGAGTCTCAGGCAGTTCATCTTAAAGGGCCTACACACAGACTTACTTGGGCTTGCGCCCTTTGAGCTCCAGCATGGGGCTCAAGAGTTACCAGGGACATACAGGAAGAAATGGAATCATCTGGCATCAGCACTAGTGCTGGAGGGGCAGCTTTCAACCCAACAAAAGTGCTGGCAGAGGCCATTGTTCCTTTTTTAGACCCCCGCCCCAACATACAGAGCCAGCAGGCAGGCACTGTATATGAGACTCCATCAACCTTGCTCACACTGTTCGCCCCACCCTGGTGATTTTCTGAGACCCCAACCTATCCTACATGAGGGCCCACCCAAGCTGTTTCCAATGGCTTTCCATACAAACTAGCTTGTCTTGGCTCCTGCTGTGGATTTTTCTAAAATCTCTCAAAGGTT